CTCACATAATTTTAACTAACTATCACTCCCAATCAATTTTCTTCTACTTTACATCAAATCAACTTTAATTATTATATTTAAATATTATTTTAATCTATCCACTAACAACTAATCATACCACCTTTTTCCAAAACTAACTATAGTTAAAAAACAAACTAAATAAAAACTAGTTGAATCCATAAACAATACTCCCTAAGTTCTATATCCCTCAGTCGCTGTACTTGAACCTTTAAATTATATTATGAGTATTTCATTATTTCTATAATAATACAAAATTATTAAATATTTTTCACTAAAATGTCTACAAATTATTGGAGAAAAAGAATTTATTAAATGAAAAAATCCGTAACCATTGTTATGATTTAACTAGTACAGAGCCCGTGCGATGCACGAGGTGCACAATTTTAATGTCATTTATCCATTCTTATAATTATATAAATGAATAAAAAAAATGTATGGGATATATAGTACGTGACATGTAATAGGCCAAAATGTGAACACGGGTGATGCACGGGGTGCACAATTTTCTAGTATGTGTAATAAAAATACATATCGTATGCACGAGACAGAAGCACTAAATGAGTCATTTCCACAGAGCTTGCCCGTTAAGTAGCTCCTGAACACGGGTGCACAATTTGTAGTACGTAGCATAAAATCAGAACAAATTTCCATACAATCAGATAATCAATTAGATAATAAATAAATCCTTTTTATTTTAGTAAAGATTTTAAGTACTTTGTTTAATTACTTATAGGATGTTATGGTATTTTTTTGTTAAACTGATTTTATGAAATATAATACAAATACAATTAGAGGATTGAACAAAATAAGAACAGATTTTCATACAATTAGATAATAAAAAGGAATTAGATAAGGAAAAGAAGGAATTAGATAAGAAAAAGAAGGAATTAGATAAAAAAATTTGAATCTGACTTTTTTTTTATAGATGGACTTTACTGATTTTATGGGATTTATTTTGACAAAATTGATGTTAATATGGAATAAGACAAATAAATAAAGTCTTTTATTTTAGTATAGATTTTACGTCTTTTTTTTTTTTACTTGTCATATGTTATGGGATTTGTTTTTCTTAAACTGATTTTATGAGATATAAGACAAATAAATAAAATAATTAAATAAAATTCTGGATAGAAATAGTAATGCATTAATTACGTTGATTTTTCAATCTACTAAATTTGGTAAATAAGATACCTTATATAATAAGTATAGATACAAATAAATAACATGCCAAAATTTTAAAGAATAATTAATGTATTTCAATTTATTATCTAGCCATTAGTAATATCATTTAATGATGTGATCATTATCTTAAATGATAAATAAAATATTAATTTTAAAAAAATATTTGTTTTTTATATACTCAAATAAAAATTAAAAAATACTATCGACAAATATGAATTATAATATATATCAGTAAAATTATTGTAGAAGTTAATAAAATTATTTAAGGAAATAATCTTTCTGATCATATTTGAATTGGAAATGTACATATGCAAGCAATTAATGCATATAGTAAAAAATTTTTAAATAAAGTATGCATTAAATGTGAGTTGACTTTTTTGCTACTATTTTTGGTAAATAGTATGACTTTTAATATAAGTATAGATTAATTTTATCCTTTTTTTTTTTCCAACCAAAGCCTAATCAATATTTAATTGTTGTTCTAGTTTTCTTGTGTATGTATTTATTTATTTATTTTTTTAGCCAGCCACGGTATCCGGAGGTATGCCCTGATTAATCCATTAGTTGATCCGGGTCGCACACTTAATAATGGTGGATGAGTCTCCCAACAAGGATTTTATGCATCCACAAGAACTTGAACCCGAGACCTTGCTTAAGCGACATCAAGCTGGCTTAGCATGAGCAAACTCTGTTGGTGTGTTTATTTATCTTTTGATAAGTAATGTGTGAAATTAGTAAAGCCACGTGTTCCATGGGCCAAAAAAAGGCACATGTATTGTTTGCTTGTTTATTCAACGCGTACGTGAAACGTAATCACTACATAAAATCGTCGGTGCCTATTTTGATGTTTCCTCCTCGAGTGATATTTTTCATTATCTTTTTTATTTATTTTCCTTTTTATTTTCTTTTTGCTAAATCATTTTAGAAACACATGTATCGTTTTGCAATTAGCTAACATCGGATAGCAGATAGTTGATCGTATTAGTGTATAGCTGATATAAAATTGTAATAGTAAATTTCGCTGACGAGTTATATTAATTGTTTGTAAATAACCATTGGTAAATAATGAATTGTATAACTATCTTATAAATTTTATGCCAATATGTTATGAGTTTTCTTACTCAAAATGCTCCTGAACTTTTTTTTTTTTTTTTTTTTTTTTTTTTTTTTTGGTTTTTGGAATTAGAGTTTGAGACTTGAAAAAATTAATTAAACAAGCTCTTTACCAAATAAGTTAATCAAGCGTATTTAATTTGATAGGTCAAATCATGAGGTTTAATTTTATATCAATCCGCTAACAACCAAATAAGTCGTACAGACAACTGAACATTCAAAATTTTATATTATTATAAAACTAGACTCGCATTATTTAATTTACTCTTATTATACGATCATTTTCTTTCTTTTGGTTTTTATGACATTTTCTTTTTTCTTAAGAAATAATGTCCAAGATAAACTCAAGTAAATTCCAAAACTATGGGTGACAAATTGACAATGGCTTACACGTTATAAATTACAGACACGGTTAAAAAAGAAATTTACGAAAACCATTGATAATTCGATCACAATGCCCTCGCTATATAACCGTTTGACCAAAATATGACCGTTCATGGCGGGATGTAACATGATGAATCTTGGGAATGGGTTTTCTATCATCCACCTTTGAAATCAAGAGGATGCGGAGAATGGTCCTTACGGGTGGGCCCTATGTAATCGGGGGAGGCAACATGCATGTCCAACCATGAAATCTCGAATTTGATGCTATGAAGGAGGAGGTAACGACTACTGTCGCATGGATCCGATTGCCCGGCATGCCTGCTCATTTTTATCACAAAAAGATCTTCCGCACTATTGGGAAAATGGTAGGCAAAGTGGTTAAAATTGACCAGCAAACGGCAGCCCTCACCCGAGGAAAGTTTGTGAGACTTGCGGTGTTGGTCGATATTACGAAGCCGCTCTGTGTGAACTTCACAATTAACGGACGAAAACAACGAGTAATCTACGAGAACCTGCCCAATATTTGTTTCCACTGTGGAAAATAAGTCACTTGAGTCACACATGTCCTTACCAGCAACAACCTAATGAGCAGAAGTATATGCCCGAGACCCTAACAACAGATCGCACTGGAAGTGGGACTGAAGGAGATGGAGGCCCGGGAACATGACGACGACGGAGGATGGCGGGGTCAAACCGCTGTACGGATCGTGGATTCAAGTCCCATAACGCGCGCGTCAACCGTATTCACGGTGTGATAAGGGGACATAGAAGATTCAGACGACTAAAATTAAGAAGAAAATTTGTATTAAGAGAAAAAAAAGTAACAAAATTAAATGTACACTTACCATATTTGAAAAAAATAATTTATGTCTATACCAAACATAATTTCACAGCAAGAAATTAATATACAAATAATATCATGAAGCATAGATTTTTGTCATGTCAGCATTCGAAGCGTGTGAGCGGCCACTTAACACTAAGACATTATAGTACATACATAATATATTTCTGTTAATTAAACAACTTTTCTATTTCCCCTATAATTCTGCGCCTCTTTCTGTCTCTAGAATCCATTACCCCTCAATTGTCATCCCGTTTGGATTCTCCTGAAAACCACTTTCCCATTTCTTAGAGAATTCGACGGGATTTTTCGCCTATTGATCGCCAATTTGTTGGATTCTTCTTTTTTATGGGTTTTTACTCCACACTCCAAATTAGAATCTTGATTTTGAAATTTGTTGGCCGATTTTAACATTTTTTTCCGATTTGACTGATCGATCGATCGGGAGGTGGGGGTAAGTTTCGGTAGACGCATGAGAGGGTTGGTAAAGCTACGATTTTCACCTAATTCTAACCATTTTATTACTCCGATCCTCCATTTTCTGGAAAGTTGTAATTTTTTGTTGTTCCTCTTGTTGTTGAGATTAAGATCGATCAGTTTGTGGATTGTTAATAGTCCTTATAGTTGTTTTTTCGATCCTTGCCAATCGTTGTTTAATTATGGATTCGAGGGAGAACAAGAGTAATCGCCAGCTGCAAACCGGTGAGCTTCTTAGTTTTATCCTTGATTGTGCTGGTTTTGTGTGATCTGGTTAAGCTAATTTTGTTGAAGTTTTGAATTTATCTGGGTTTTCGGCCATGGATGGTAATATTCGTTGGTATTATGTTAAGGAAAACTAAAACGAAAAAAAAAAGTGAACTTTGTTTTAGTGACAGCATAAGGAAGTGAACTTGTTTCTGGGGTTTGTTTAACTTTATTTATACCTTTGTTTTTGTGTTATTGTGTATGGGCTTGTTTGTCTAGCCTTGAAAGCTGATTATGACGTTTAAGTTATAGAATGAGCTTGAGGATCATAACTTTTACATAATTATTCTTACCA